TTTGTTTTAAATCGCATCGCTTATATTACGTTAAAAAAAAAAAGAAAAGGAAAAAAGAAGAAAAGAATAAAAAAAAGAGGAAGAGAGAGAGAGAGAGAGAGACAGAGAAAGATGTCTAAATAATTCCACTACTAACTTCAGTGAAATAAACTGATTTTCAATTGAGGATAAAAAAAAATTAAGTTTCCTGTTATATAATCCATTTTAAAGGTTTTAAAAAAGCATTGTTGAATCTTGAGGAACACGTTTAATGAACGCACGATAACTTTAAAATGAAAACGACGAAAGGATGGTATCCGTCATATGGATGCATTGAAACGTTAACGCGATAATTTTGTATAGCAATCTCATTTCTCCGATCTTTTATATTCCTTGAGCCCAGCGACGACGGTACAAGTCACTTATACAGACAAACCAGGTATACCGCAAAACGCGTTTTCTCGTCTCTTTTCAAATGCACCACCTTTGTCTCCTATCTCTTTCATTCTTTCTTATTTTCTTCTTCCACCTGTCTGCGACTCTTACTCTCTTTCTCTCTCTTTGCATTCTTTTTCATCCGCTCTTGCGTATATATGAGATTCTCTGCGTAGAATCGCTCGCTCACTCCTCAAGAATGCTCTTATTTCGATCAGGAGAATTTACCGCAAAAGGAAGAAAAAGCAACAAAAGGGGAAGAGAGAGAGAGAGAGAGAGAGGGAGAGAGAGAGAGAGAGAGAGAGATAGATAGAGTGATAGATAGATAGAGTGAGAAATAGATAGAGTGAGAGAGAGAGAGAGAGAGAGAGAGACGGGAAAAGAAGACGAGAGAGAAAGGGTAAGAGGAAAAGGGGGGACAGAGAAAAAAGAGAGAAAGAAGGAGGAGGAGGAGGAGGAGGAGGAGGAGGAGGTGGATGAGGAGGTTAGAGTGTGTGCGTGTGTGTGAGAGATAAAATACAAAAAAGAAGACGAGAAAAGTGACGTGAACACTAGCGGATAAACAAAGAAAGCAAGAGAGATAGATGAAATGAGAGTAGAGGAAAAAGAGCAGTAGAGGGAATAGAGGAGAGAGAATTATAGAGAATCAGGAAAATGGTTAGAGGAGCAAGAATAAGTATAACAGAGTAGAAAGAAAAGGGAAAAATAAGATGAAGAATAATAGGAGCTCGTATAGTGAAATATATAGGGAACGAGGAGGGAGAAAACAGAGGGCAGGGAAAAGAACAGAATGAAAACGGCGGAAAAATCTACGGGATCGTTGAAACGGAAGTAGTATAATAGAAGCACAGAGAAGATTACAAAAGTATTATAATTGAACATCAGAGAATTAGAAGAATAATGGGAGTATAATAAGAAATCAGATTGTGAGAAGAATTAAGGAAGTAGCCACAAAGAAAGTAATAGTAAGTTAAAGGCACATGTTGAGGGATTATTGAAAAGTTTTAAGATACAGTGATATAAATCGTTAACCTAGTGAAAAACTGCAATTAAATTGCAAAGTTTACAATCAATGTTAAAAAAGGATTTTTTACATAAAATCATGTTATTAAAGAATAAGAATCGATCTTAGTAAATGCAAAAAAAAAAAAAAAAAAAAATCAAAATATGACGATGGTGTTACAATGCCGTAATGCCTAAACGCAATCCCTTTATCTTATATTTTTATCATCTAATAGCAATAAAAGATAAGCTATTGTATTGATCTATGTAACCACTTATTCTTTTATTAATGTATCTGTGGCAAGTATTTATGGTTATATCATATCTTAATTTTCTCGTATGTGTAACGATGGAGGATACCTGACTATTACTTTTACATGTATCTATAATGTTACATGTATCCAACGTTTTAACAAAAAAAAAAAAAAACTTTGTCAGTCATATTCATTTGCAAAAAGATAAAATGATTATATATTTATAATCGTTTCTAAACGATTATTTATAAATGATATTGAATAATATTTTTATTATTAATGAAATTGGTATTTTAATAATTTATTAATTCTCTTTTCTATTGAAATTGCATCGACATAATTTTCGCTTACTCTTCCATATGTCGCTATTATAAAATTCATATACATTATAAACTGTTTTGTTTAAACTACGTGTATATATATATATATATATATATATATATATATATATTCTAATCAGTTATATTTGGAAATAATTTTAGTGAAATCTATCTAAATTTTTTCATAATTATACGTTTTAATTAAAAAAAAAAAAAAAAACATAATACGACTATAATGAACAGATATTTGATACACTCGTACTAATAGAATACTAAAAGATAATTAATTATTATAAAAAATTTATAAATTTATAAATAAATATTGTTTTAAAGAATTTATTATTGTATTATCATTAATTTCATTTTTATGAATGGATAGGATTTATTGCGACTTTAAGATTATTAATACTGTCTCTTTTATTTATTTAACTTTAAGTGTACCCAATATTAAAATGTTTTGCTGTAATTCATTGAAAAAAGTTTATGAGAAAAATGACTCCCGTCTCTTTAGAAAGTTAGAGCAAAATGTTTCAAAATATTATATTCTTAAATAGAGGAGAGTAAGCGCTGAAAATTTTATTTTAATGGCACTAATTTTGGTAAATTACGAAAACACGAATATAAATATCAAGAAATATATAGAATTAATTGTAAATGCTTTCTATCATAAGTGACAGATGATTTTAATAATATCAAAATAACAAAGTTGCATAGAGCAAAAATTGTAAATAAATGATTTAGAAACGAAATTAACAATTTTCGCTCTGTTGATTGAATTATATTGAAGATTATGTTGTAAATAGTATTTGTTTAGTATTTTATTAAAAGTTATTTGTATTTCATCATATTAATGCATAATAAATGTAAGATTAATGCTAGAATTCTGTGTAACTCAATTACCCACCTCTAATCACAGTACGATAATTATTGATAAAATATTCGAGGTGGCTGCAATAAGCAATGGACTTTACGGTAACGTAAAAATTCATAGAAATGATTAAAAGTTCATGATCATCGACGTGAATATCATTATATCAGGGTCAGTAAAAATAATTCCCTTTTATTCTATTTATTAATGCAAATTTACTCGAATGATATTTGTAATAAATAAAGTATAATGAATTATGAGACACGAGAAAACAAAAGCATAAGAAGCTAAAAATAGAGAAAAATTGAACGAATTATGGGGAAAAGGCTGAGATAATGGAACTAGTCATAAAATAAGAAAAATATTTAGAATTGTTATTCAGAATTGAAAGCAAATGAAAAAAAGGAAACAAATTTGCAATTGGTAATACTTAAAAAATCGAATAAGTTTAAAAAAAAAACCTAATTGATTTGGAAATAGAAGAAAAAACAGACGGGGAAAAGATTTTAGAGAATTTAGTAAAAAAAATAATGCTTAAAAAGTTTTATGTATTAAGAGCAAAACAGAGAAAGAAAAAAAAAGGAGTCGTGGTACAGAACACCGAAAAGAAGCAAAAATACCAGCTCGGACAAACAAAAAGAAAAACAATGCAAAGAATAAGGAGGCAGCAGACACAATGAAAAAAAGAAGCAAACAAATAACAAACGTACAGCGGCAGACAGGGTGGAGGGTGGGAAGGAGGGTAATGGTAGTAGTAGCAGCAGCATTAGAATTAGTAGCAGTAGCATTACAACTAGTAGTAGTAGTAGCAGTAGTAGTAGTAGTAGTAGTAGTAGTAGTAGTAGTAGTAGTAGTAGTAGTAGTAGTAGTAGTAGTAGTAGTAGTATAGTAGTAGTAGTAGTAGTAGTATAGTAGTAGTAGTAGTAGTAGTAGTAGTCGTGGTAGTAGTCGTGGTAGTAGTCGTGGTAGTAGTAGTAGTAGTAGCATTAGTAGTAGTAGCAGCATTCGAAGTAGTAGTCGTAGTAGGAAATGCAACAGCGCGGTATCAGCAATACTAAGGCTAGCGCACGTAGCATCACATCACAAATAATGCCAATAGCAGCAGCAGCAGCAGCAGCAGCAGTAACAGCAGCAACAAGCAGCAACACAATCATAAGCAGCACCGCAAGGGCTACGCAAGAACTTTACACGCGATTGCCGTGTTGCAGTACACTCGGACACATGTGTAAGACTACCACAGACTCAGCATCTACACAATATTAGTAGCGAGAAAGACAGGTAGACAAGACTCTCTCTCGTGTGCAAAGCCGCGAGCCATTCCATCTCCACGGTAGCCTCTCTCTCCGTCTCTCACACTCATTCTCTCTCTCTCTCTCTCTCACACACACTCTCACACACACACACACTCTCTCTCACTCTGTCTCTTTCTCTCACTCTGTCTCTCTCTCTCTCTCTCTCTGTCTCTCTCTGTCTCTGTCTCTGTCTCTGTCTCTCGATCGTTCGCTCGCTTGCTCGCTCGCTCACTCACTCACTCGCTCGCTGCTTCCTTCCTTCTCGGCGTCTCGGTCTCTCGCTAGCTCGCTTGCTCGCTCGTACGCTCGCTCGCTCGCTCTCTTGCAACTCCGTTGGCTGCTGCTGCGTGCGTAGCGCGAGTTGGGGGGTTGGTTGGCTCGCGTCTCTTGCCAGCCAGCGGCACAAGCGGAGAAAGAGAAGCGTGCACACTCGGAGCAGCGCAGACACTCTCGGCTCGAGCGCTCGCCGGTCAGTCAGTCGGCTGTTCCTTCCTTCCTGAGTCGAGCTGCTCATTTGCCACCGCCGCTCCTCGGTGCGAGACGCGCGCGCGCGCGCCCATGAGGCCGCTACTCCGGCCCAGGATCAACTGAAACCGTCCCTTGGGATCCCGTGACGCCCCGAGGTCCTGAGCCTCCTCACGGCTGCGGGATAGTCGCCGGCTCCGTCCATGGAGAAGCCCGGGGAGGACAGCTACCAACATCGCGCCGACGAGCTCGCCGCTCAGGCTAAGATGAAGTTCAATAACAATAACATCGCCAATGGTCGTGGTGGTGGTGGTGGTGGTGGCGGTGGTGGTGGTGGTGGCGGTGGTGGTGGTGGTGGTGGTGGCGGCGGCGGCTGCGTCGGCGGCGGCGGCGGCGGCGGCGGAGGCTGCGACGTCGAGGGCAAGGCTCCCGGCGGCACTGGCCCCATCAGCTGGAAAGCCATGACGATCGGCCAAAAGTGCTCCTACGTATTGAGGAACATAACCGTCGAGCCCATGGTCGCCTTCTACATAATGCCCAGCGTCCTCGCGTCCCTCGCCACTCAGAATCTCAACCTCGAGAAGGCGTGCAAGGTGAACCTCGGCTACACCGACTCGATTTGCGCGGCTCTCGCCGCCCGCAACACCAGTGGCCTCGCCCTCGAGGAAACGGCCGTTCAGCAACTGGTCGCGGTCATGCAGACCTGGAAGACGGCCCTACAAAGCTTCTTCCCATCGATTCTCATAGTGTTCATGGGCGCTTGGAGCGACAGGAACGGGCTGAGGAAGCCCTGCATGATGCTGCCCATCGTCGGCGAGTTCCTCACGAGCATCAGCCTCATAGCGTGTACCTACTGGTTCTACGAGCTGCCGATGGAGGCTGCCGGCGTCTTCGAGGCCCTGTGGCCGGCTCTGACCGGTGGCTGGTTCACCATGATCATGGGCACGTTCAGCTACATCGGCGACATAACGAGCGTCGAGTCGAGGACCGTACGCGTCGGTGCGGTCAACTCGTTTCTAAGTCTCGGCGTGCCAGTTGGCATGGCGTTATCCGGAGTATTGTACATCAAATTGGGATTCTATGGGGTATTCGGAATAGCCGCTGCCTGCTACGTGTTTAGTTTTATGTATGGGCTGCTGGTGATTAAGGAAGCGCCGCGGGCGCTGGAATTAAGGAAGAGCATCAAGCTGGCTCAAGCCTCCGAGTTAAAGAAGATGACTTGGTGGGCGAGTGTCACGGACTTCTTTGCCTTAAGACACGTGCAGGAGACGTTTAGGGTGGCGTTTAAGAGAGGCCCGAGGAACCGGAGGAAGAGAGTCATGGTACTTATGCTCATCGTCATGGTGCTCATTGGGCCAATGTACGGTGAGTACATCGTGGGATGATGTATTTGTTGATTCGTTGGTGGTGGTGATGATGGTGGCGGCGGTGGTAGTGGGCGGGAGGGCAAGGGGGGACACGGTGAGTTCCGTCACCATGATCATGGCCTATCGCTGCTATGTGCATTGGTGTCGGTGAACATGTCGACGCGAGCGTTAAAGCGACTCGATCTAGTCTATCTCAGTTTTGTAAAGCTACCCATACTAAAGGAAAATATGGCCAATTTGAGTTTTAGTTTGAAATTGACACTTACCTTAATTACAATCGTACGACTTATTAAATTAGAGTGTCGTTCCATCCAAGCAATCCCACCTGCGTGGACATACCATTTTACAATTTTACAAATGTATTTCAAGTATCGAGCTAACGAATTGTAGGCCCACGATTAATTATTCGTTAATAGCTAATTGTGCGCCAGGCCCCGTGTGCAAAAGTAATTTTTGAATGAACTTTTAATGATGAGAAGCCGCTCGCGTTCGATTTGGAAAAACGCATAAATTCGAAAGATCATTCGGATGTGGAATGAAATTTCAAAGCAGATCACGATGGAAAATCATTAAGAATGATAATAATAGGCGTTTGATAATTGATTAAATGATTCGGCAGTGCGTAATAATATGTATATACATCGAGCATAAATTGTAAATACAATGTATAAAAGACTTTAGCTCTTGTAAGTAAGACTCTTATGAAATTTATATTTTAGTCGTATTTAAATATTCACACATGACGCTCTTTACATTGGAATTTATAACGGTAATAACAATGTTCCTAGATTAAACACGTGGTAATTTACATGAAATACATCCACAGGGTTTTCGTCTTTTTTTTTCTTTTTTTTTTGTAACTATTGTTTGCTCGGGTGAAATAATATCTTTGCATAATAAGAATATCTCTGCTATTGAAAAACAAAAAATTACAAATCATGCAGGCAAATTAATTCAATGGCATAATAAAGTATATCGTTGATTAATTTATATTTCAATAACCATTTTTATTATCTACTTTATTATCTACAAATATAAATTTTAATTTCTTTATCACGATGATGATGATGATGATGATGATGATGATGATGATGATGATGATGATGATGATGATGATGATGATGATGATGATGATGATGATGATGATGATGATGATGATGATGATGATGATGATGATGATGATGATGATGATGATGATGATGATGATGATGATGATGATGATGATGATGATGATGATGATGATGATGATGATGATGATGATGATGATGATGATGATGATGATGATGATGATGATGATGATGATGATGATGATGATGATGATGATGATGATGATGATGATGATGATGATGATGATGATGATGATGATGATGATGATGATGATGATGATGATGATGATGATGATGATGATGATGATGATGATGATGATGATGATGATGATGATGATGATGATGATGATGATGATGATGATGATGATGATGATGATGATGATGATGATGATGATGATGATGATGATGATGATGATGATGATGATGATGATGATGATGATGATGATGATGATGATGATGATGATGATGATGATGATGATGATGATGATGATGATGATGATGATGATGATGATGATGATGATGATGATAATGATGATGACGATGATGACGATGATAATGACAACGACGAAGACGACGATGGCAATTATTATTATTGTTATTGTTAATACTACTATAATAATATATTGATTTAAATACGTGGATAAGTGTAGTGCGATAAGCATTGATTGTTGATAATTAATAAATTTACAAGTTCTCTTTATCAAATAATAGTTAAATGAAATTATTTCAAATTAATGGCTCGCACGTGTATCTCTTGTTGACATATTATAAAAAAAAAAAACAAAAGAGTGTAGGTTATTACGCAAGAGGTATTATAAATCTAAATTATTTTTTGTGAAACTCTATAATTTACGCTCTTTCTTCGTTTACCGAACAGAATGATAATAATGTTTAGGAAATGAACTTGAAATAGTTACGTGCCTACTACTTCTCTAATGTTATATATATATATATATATATATATATATATATATATATATAAATATAATGTTAATACGAATAAGTATTATTCCTTAAATAATACGATGGAATAGCAAAAATATTTAGAAATTTATTAAAAACTAATTTTAATGTATCGATGAAATGACAAGTATTGAGATTATAAAATTTATGCAATTAAATTGTATGTTAGAATTAAATGATTGAATATTAAATAGTCGGTAAAATCGATTTGACATACATTACTTCACCAGAAAATTACATTTTATATATTTTGAAACTTAAGCAATCTTGGCATATAAGATAAAAACAAAAAAAAAAATAAAAAAAAACAATAAACAAAAATATAACTTTATTCACGTGGTATTGTATTCACAGTGTTTCAATGCAGCTAATTAATAATACGAATAATTCGACGCGAAAGTAGTGCTATCAAGTTATCATCTTAACAAGTTAATAAGAATCGAATATATTTGGAGGTAAAAATTACCGGTTGAAAGCGCAATTCGAATGAATTGTCGCGTGAATAGTTGAAGGATACGGGATAAAAGAACAGTCGGTGCTATTCATAATAATCTAACATTGGGAGCGAAATGGCAAGAAACTTGTCGAATCCATTCATCGGACATCGGGATGCCAGCCTCGGGAATGCAGAAATGGTAAAGAAGTTCCATCGATGCGAGCGCGATCCCGCTATTGAAATATTCAAAGATAATAACGATTGCGCAACAATGCACAAACGAATGCCAATCAGCTGGCCACATACTTTCCCTTCAGCGACGAAAAAAAAAGAGCGTCAAAAAAAGTTACGCCTCGGCTTTTCCATCCACGGACGCGGACGCGAAGTGCAGCCGCGCCACGTGCGCCGCGAGGGTAATGCGGAGGAAGGAAAAAAAGAGAGCTTAAACGGGTCAATGTAAATAATGACTTTTTCAGTGCCACCGCCGGCCGCTGCTATGCTACGATGCGCAGGACGTAATTCAATAATCGACGGCCCAACGAACGAGCCCGCCCAAACAGACGCGTTTTTATCCGAGAAACTGTGTCAGTCCTTGCTCTTGAACCCTTTTTTCTTCTCCTCGACGTTGGCTACCTCTATCTCCCTCTCGCCGACTTCTTTCCTTGCTCCCTTCCTTCCGCGCGCAATCTCTCGCTCCCGATCCCCTCCTCATCCACCTCCTCCTCCTCAACGCCCCTCATCGTCCCTCATAGCTCCACAAGACCAACCTCCTCCTCCTTCTCCTTCCCACCTACCACCTACCACCTACCACCTACCACCTACCACCTATCACCTACCACCTACCACCTACCACCTACCACCTACCGTCTCCCCCCACCCCATCCCCTCATCGGTCTATCTCGTTCTATCTGACTTATTTCTCCTTCTGTCTCGCTTACGTATCAACTGCACCGACGCGAAACGCACGTGACTGCTGCGGCCCAACGCCAGCGAAACCGGCGTAATTTTACCTTCTTTTCTATGTTACTTTCTACGAGCCAGTCCAACTTGCTAACTCCGGATTTTATTTATAACTAATACAGCACGCTTAGCCGCGCGGCTTTTTTTTTCTTCGCATTTTCTTTCTCCGCAAATCTTACAAATTGCTCGTCGAGTTAATTGAATAAAAAGAGCTTGAACGATGAAACATTAATTACGAATTGAAATTTCATGAGTTGATTTGAAAGTGAATATTTTAATATCTTGCGCCGAAGCCAAGATATTTCATCCGCGAACAACGGCTACTGCTCAATATATTTGTGAATGTAATGTATGTTATTTCAGCATTTAAACAGTTTCCATCCTTTTCCTTGGGAGCATTAACGCGCCATATTGCCCAATTAGTCCGAATAATTACAGTGCCAATCCTACAACGGCCGGATAATAAAATTATTTCTCCATTCTCGAATTATTTAATGATCTGTGAATTCCGCGATTACTTTGCCATTGTTAAAATGTCCGTGAAAATTTCTTTCGACACTTTCTTGTCGCAAACTATGTTAAATATTTGCTGGCGATTAGCGAACATTTAGTGCCTTTCTATGCTTATAGAAACAAAATACTCGATGCCGAAACTAAGCTAATTGTATTCTTGAATCATTTCAATTTCATTACAATGCGCAATGTGCGATAATTTATTCGGCATTTAATAAATGTTAGTTGAGGTTAGAACAGCTGTTCAAATATACCGGTGGATTCTTTGAGCATGACGAGCATCTGTCTCTCGCGAGCATTAAATCAACAACGCGCTTACCGATCAAATGCCGCGAAACTTTATTCAAAATCCTTAAAAGATAGGGCCGCGAGAGGAGCGCCTTACCTCCCCTACTCTACGCACATTTACCTAACGATCTATCGTTGATTAACGCACGAACAATGTATCTTGATAAAAGACTGGCCACGCGCGTGGTGGCTATCTTTTCGCCAAAAAAAGAAAAATCAAGCGATTTCTCGGTGTGGCCCGGCCGTATTTCGACCGGGGAGGAGGACCGGACGACCGGACAAACCGGTTTGCGGAACCGTAGCCACAACCGTAATCCTGTGAAAAATTGTGCTTCACGAAAAATTCATAAACGATATGTCATTTTTATAAATTTTTCAATAGCGTCTTATCGACCGGATGACACCGTTCAAAATCTCAATTCGATTTTTTAACGAAAAGCCTTATTTCTTCATTGTTCCTCATATGTGCGTCTCGAGCCTTTAATTGACAATTAATACTCCATGCGCATCGATGGGAAACGCATTTTTTTCTCACCCCTTCTTCTTTTTACCATTTATCTTTTCTACAAATTAATTTTCAAAAATAATATTTGCGTAAGATTGCAATTATTTAGAGAGATTATTATTCGACGAATTTTATTTTTATATTTCCTATATTCATGATTAAGTAATATACTATAGATTGGGCAAACTTGAAAAACTTTGTGTCTTTCGGCACGTCGTTAATATTTT